GAGTTGAATAAGACTCAAAGAGCAACCTAAAATAAGAGTCCGAATGTAGCAATTTATGAGGCCGATAAGGGTCTCAAAAAGAGTCATATATGAGGCCAAAACTTGTTTTAAAAGAGTCCAAAATGAGCCGTATATGAGGCCAATAAGAGTCCAATATGACTCATATTGAGGCTCATTTGATGTATGAATTTAAGCTCATATAAGTCGACATTCGTAGGAAGGGAAATACACTCATATCGGACTCTTAAATGAGCTCATTATGAGCGTAATAGCTCCGAAATAGGACTCCTTAAAGACTCATTTATGACTCCAAATGTTTGCTAGGGAGAGATAATCTTAATTATGTATGAATATGTATGTACATAAATAGCTTTTGTGAAATAATGCAGGAGTGATTACGTAGACCCGACTGTCGTGGGACGAATTCTAGGTAATAATCGGGCAGGCACTTCCGAGTGAATTTCAATCCCTTCCAATATGAGGTCAAAGCGAACTGGACTCAAATTCACTCGGAAGTGAATTAAAGAATCTGCCGGAATGTGTATTTATGCAACTATAATTAAATCGTTTGTTAAATATTAAAGTGAAAAATTAGGGTAAAGACTGTAATTTGCAGTCATTTTCTTCAAGAATGTGTAATTTTCAATTTACATTCTTCTTCTTCTTTTTTGGCGCTGTAACCGCCTAAGCGATTTTGGCCGAGTTCAGCAAAGCACGCCAGTCGTTTCTCCTCTGTGCCAACTGACGCCAATTGGAAACGCCAAGTGAAGCCAAGTCCTTCTCCACCTGATCTTTCCATCGCAGTGGGGGCCTCCCTCTTCCTCTGCTACCACCAGCGGGTTCCGAGTTGAATACTTTCAGAGCTGGAGCGTCGGTGTCCATTCGAATGACATGACCAAGCCAGCGGAGCCGCTGTATTTTAATTCGCTGCACTATGTCCATATCGTTGTAAAGCTCATACAGCTCATCGTTCCATCGTCTGCGGTACTCGCCGTCGCCAACGCGTAAAGGCCCGTAAATCTTCCGCAAAATCTTTCTCTCAAACACTCCAAGAGCCGCCTCATCGGATGTTGTCATTGTCCATGCTTCTGCGCCATATACCAGCACGGGCATGATGAGTGACTTATAGAGCGTGGTTTTCGTACTTCGAGAGAGGACATTAACATTAGGTAGTGTTATATATTGATTTACGTATCTTTACCTTCGAGTATGGGTTGATCCTTATGACCAGCCGATATGCCGCGACCATGGATTTGTATCTAATCTAGACTGTTATCAGTGGCGGACCCAGGTAGGGGAAAATGGGGAAAATAAAATGGGAATTAATATTATTACGTTTCTTGAGATTTATTTTTAGGATAATTTCCAAAATTTCAAAAACTATCTGAGAATTTTATTTATCCTAAAATCTATCCTAAAATGTAAAAATGTGAAACATCACAAATTGTCGAAAAAATTGTAGAAAATTCTTAGAATTCTCAAAGATATTAATCGAAAAATTCCAAAAATTTTCCACTTTTCGGAACTTATCCAAAATTTTGTATTGATATAACAAAGTTTCATAATTTTACATTTTTTTTTAAATTTTGAAAACATCAACGTCCAAAAATTTTTTGAATCTTCGAGAATTACGAAAATTTTTTAAACTTTCAAAAACGACGAAATATGGAAATATTTTCAACATTCGAAAACTTTTAATTTCGTTTGATCAATTTTGTATATTCGACAATTTTACTTAGAACAAATTTGTTAGAATTCCTGCAATTCTCGAAATTTTTTAAAAATAAAAAATGTCTAGAAATCTAGTATTTATCATATTGAATTATTGTGATTTACTAAAATTTCTCAAATTCACAAAGTTTTGAAAGTTTAGAAAATTTTGGAATTCCACTCAAGTTATTTTAAACTTAGAGAAAATCAAAACTATCAAAACTGTAAAAACTTTAAATTGCGGTGATTTTTAAATTTATATACACGATGTGTGTCGAAAAATTATCAGCTCTAAACAATGATTTACGTGTATTTATCTTATATGGCTAATAAAATTACCAAATAACTACATTTTGTGAAAATTCCGTGATATTTTCCACTTTTGTTTTTATAAAATTTGCTTTCGGATTTAAACAACAACAGCAGTTATTTTAAATTGCCCTTTTGCACATTTGTGCCCGGAAAAAAAGTCCGGGCTGTTTCGTGCACAAAGAAGAAGATATTTACGATCCAAAAGTGGAACGTATTCGCTCTCTATTACCCATTTTTCTAGCGTGAGGAACGCTTTCTGGGCTGCTTTGGGCACCCGTGGGTACCCGCGGGCTCGTGTGTGGAACAAACCTTATATTTTGCTCCTAACGAATTTAATCAAATTTAAAATTAAACTTAACAATATAATTTGATTACATGTTCATAAACTTTGAATTGCGTGTTTATAAAATAAGGCAATTTAAATGATAATCGTAGCTCGATCAGTGAGCATTAGGGCGGGTTGATTTGTATGGATGAAAAAAAATTAAAAATCGTATAGCAAAAACGTAATCTACATTAAATTCTAAGAAAATTCTCTGAAGAAACCATGGGTCTAAAATCAAACCCTAATCCGCGCCTCTCGACTTGAAAATTTTTTTCCTCTTCTTTCGCTAAAATTATTTTCTTTTTTTGAAATACATTATTTTTTAATAAGGGTACTCATTTAAAAGCGCAAAACTCTCACATACTGGGCAAACTGTGCAATTTAAAACCCTCGCAAATGAAATGTCAAAATTTGTATGGAAAGCTATTTGCACAAAAAGGGCAAGTTTGCGTGGAAAGTTTGTCGCGCAAATTTGCGCAGTGTGATGTGCAACCCTCAATCAACTATTTTGTTTAATTTCATTTTGATTTGTGCTCAACGCTTTTTCGTAAGACTTAAATATTTTCTTAAATTCGAGTTTAAATTGTTCAAATTTATAAATTGAGCATTGTCAAATAATTAAATGTCTGAAATTGCACAGAATATAAAATTTTCCTCATGAAACACACTGCGCAAAGTTGCCCAATTGCCCAAATATGAAAGTTGCGCGAATAGATGAGTACCCTTATTATATTATATTATAGTTTATGCAATACAGGTTTTGTTTTGAGACTAATCAAAATATTCAATTATCAAAAAAGCAGTTGAACCCCAATTTGCATCTCCTCTGATTTGCGTTCTATATAAAAAATAGTTAGAACACGTTTCACCTAAACTGCGTTTTGCATAAAACAAAGAATAATTAAAAAAATAGTTTTTTTTTTTTGTAATAAAATAGGCAAAACAAACTTCTTAAAACTGAAAAAAAACATGACCTCTAATCCAGTTTATCTCATCAAATTGTTCTCTTGTATATTGGCGTTTTTTCGTTTAAGTGCGTAAGATACCGTTACCTCAGCTTTGCTCAAAACAAAGTGCACATCGACAACAACACTTATGTAAAATGTTTTGTCCATTGTTTTCTTAGTACTATATAATTGCTTCTTTGTATGTATTAAAGACCTTAATTGTTTTAATGAAACAAAAATTATTTATTGTACAAAAAAATTACTGAAAAATTGCTGAAATATTGTTTCAGTGAAAACACTTTTTTATTTTTTTTTATTTGCATTATAAAATAAGAATTGTTTATCGAAACAAAAGAAGGTTATTTTATAAATACTGAAAACAAGTTTTTGAGTGCAATTTTTTTATTTTGCATTCCCAATATTTTTTATTAAATTATGAAAGAAAATTTTTTATCTATGTTCCTTATAAAAATATTAAATATGAAATTATATACAAACTTTTTTACTTGGGTTAATATTTTTTTTAATGAAACAAAATTTTGAGTGTAAAATAAATATAAAGTGCAAAAGAACTACCTTACTAAACAATTTTATTCAGAAAATTCGATTTCTTTTTGGAAAAACCTATTTTTTCTAACATTTATTTTTTTGGCAAAGGCGGCAATATAAATTTTCAAGTCGAGAGGCGCGGATTAGGATTTTATTTTAGATACATGGTTTCTTCGGAGAATTTTCTTAGAATTTTATGTAGTTTACGTTTTTGCTATACGATTTAAAAAAAAAAATCAACCCGCCCTAGTGAGCATACTTACATATCTGTGTTCGTATGGAAAAGTAGCTTATGTCGAAGGGCTGGATTTAGTATAAATCGGCATTCGCAGCATGCGATTGCGAATGACTCACAGGCACTGAGCCGTTGAACAACGTTTGGCAAATAAACGTGCCAGAAATAGTTCCGATACTAGCAAGTCAATATTCTTATTAAGTCTCATCGAAAAATTTCTTGTCGTTCAAAGAATAAAGGGAATGCCGCATTATACTAAAGCCAGCCTTTCGACATAAGCTACTTTTTCATACGAACACAGATATGTACATACATGCTATATGCATCATAATGTAAATATATTTACTAAATGCATGTATGTATGACTGCTTAGTTCATGGAAGGTGCTCGAATACCAATTTAGCACTTGTCTATTATTGTTTAGCGTCTTTTCAGTAAAATTTACTTAAATTTCTATTTACTCGAGAATTATCCATTATTCTTTAATTCTCTACTTTTTTTAACACAATCAATTTACTAAAGACGAGGGACGTCCTAGCTTTATCATATCGTATCTATATACATATATATGTATGCATGTATGTACATGCTTATAGTACACATGTACGAAATGTCATTAAAAAAAAATCATAACTCAGAAAGAATTTGTGACTTAAATAAATACATATCGTCGTTTAAATTACAAAACCGCGTATCAACAAAATGCAAAACTTGTATCAACAAAATGCAAAACCGAGTATGTGGTGTTGCATAAATTATTTTCTAGAGAGTAAAACCCCTCATATTTCAAAATGGTTATCTTTTTTATAAAGCAATCGCATTTGTGGCTAGTATATTTCAGGACAAATGGATAAGGATTGAGCCAAGAGCTTGTGTGAGCAAATCCAATTTTTGGCAGCAAATGTCAGTTACGCGGTATTGCAGAATGACGGTACGCGGTTTTGTATTTTAAACGACATAACTTGTGTGCCAGTATGTGCATAAACACATGACGATGATGAATATCTTAAAGTAGCGCTAATAACATTTATATCATTTACTTTGCATTCTTCTCTACAGCTAGACCGTACAAATAAGGCGAACATGGTCCCATCTAGACAGCCTATGTAGAACAAAACAGCTTCAGTTGAGACGTCGCGCTGAGAGTTGAAATGAATTAAAGATAAACAACTTTAACAATAAAGAGTTCAGCAAATGAAGTGCACGAAATAAAAATTAATAATAAAAAAAGCAAAAACAACAATAAATTTTTTTTTTTCAAACAATAAGCAAACAGCAGCATCTGGTGTGTTTCAGCCGGGTGAAGAGCAACGGCATTCTCTACGGCATACCGTTTGAAGCTTGTGTGGGTAGCATTCGCTTTTGTGCCGGTGAGTAGTTACGTGCTTAACGGCAAGCGTAAAACATATTTTCATAACGATTTTACGATATTTATACCCGAGCGCACTTGTGCACAAGGGTATTATAACTTTGTTCACATAACGGTTGTTTGTAACAGGCAAAACGAATCGAGATAGATATAGACAAATGTATACATAAATGATCAGGATGAACAGAGAAATCGATTAAGCGGTGACTGTCCGTCCGTCCGTCCGTCCGACCGTCTGTCCGTCCGTCTGTGCACACGATAACTCGAGTAAAAATTGAGATATCTTAACGAAACTTGGTACGTGTACTTCTTTCGGGCGTAGGACGGATGGTATTGAAAATGGGCAAAATCGGACAATAACCACGCCCACATCTCATATAACGGTAATTTGGAGAAATACGAAATCTTCGATAAATCAGTAAATATTAAAGCCAATTTATTCAAAATTGATGCTTGCAACAATTCCTTACCAGGAAATACGTCTATAATAAAATTTTGAAAAATGGGCGTGGCACCGCCCACTTACGATCACATATATGTATCTCGGTAACCGTTCTACTAATTTTTACCAAACTCGGTATTTTTATTGTGCTTGCTACATAAAAGCAAAACTATGAAAATGATTGAAATCGGACTAAAATTATGGCTTTTCATATAACGGTAAATTTTAGAAATGCTTGAAACGTCAATATTTTGAAACTTAAGGACGCTAATTTACTCAAAATTGATACACCCCGGCTTACCATATAGCGGTAGCTTTCGGAAAGGTGAACAACATATATTTAATACTTGCGCCGGGTATTTAATGTTCGGCTCCGCCCGAACTTACACTTTCTTACTTGTTTTTTTTTGTTTTTGTATAATTCGAAGGGTTAACGAAAAAATATCAATTAGTTATCACGAGACGAGGAAAAAACCAGTGCGGTCAAATCATGGAACAGTGGAATAATGTGGAATTGACTAGTTTGAGGAAAAAATCCTATACGTTGAATGATGAATATGATTTAGCTAATAAATGTATTGTTGCGAATAATAATAGTGAAGCGCCAACGACTACCAATAACAATACCAATGGCGATGAAGCCTCTAATAATGCGAATCAAAATAATATACTACAACCAGGATCAAATATTAAGCCGAAAGTAACATCAGAGGATGTGGAATCGTTAGTGCGACGACTTTACGGCATCACAATAAATGAAATTAAAGAATTAATATCATATGATGATCGCAATTATCTAATACAACCAGATTGGTAAGTTTGTTATTGCATGTATAAATATTTACATACATATGTATGTATTTACATTAGACTGCATCACCAAAAAGAGTTGCGGTTTTTCCGCTGCAAAAACAAAACTCATTCACGTCCCAATTTTTTTTTTTTTTTCAAATACCAACACATCTTAATTCAACTTGGAATGACGCTCGTTCATCCTAGCCTTCTCTTTCATACTTTGAATGACTTTATTTGCAAAGAAATAATAGCGAGAGAATACCTTTAATACCAATGATAACTCATAAGTCCAAATCGGAATAGTTTTGGTCCAGTTATTCAAGGTTTTCTTATACCACTCTATGAAAACAGTTAAAAAAAACAGCATCAAAAATCTCATCCTCGTTTTAACGTTAGAGTTTCTATAGATTAGTGCTTTTCATTCGATACTGGCAGTTAGGGCCAATCGATATATTATACTAGTATATTGGCATTATTTAAAAAATTTACATGCCATTTAACGCGTATATATGTATGCCATGACATCTATACATAGTATAAAGGAAAGGCGAGATTCTTTGTACGCGGTAATCTCGAAAACTACCGAACGGATTTTGACGAGATTTCCTCTAATATATTCTGTATCGATAGGAGAGTGACCTTTTTAATTTAGACTTTTAATAGGGTTGCCACCTGTTAGAAATTACTATATTCAATTCTAATAAGCGTAGGCGTCAGTTCTGCACCGTCACTGTCAAATAAAAAGACTTAGCCTCTGGATGTGTAATAATGTATTATTTTTCTGAGTAGGGTTGCCACCTGTTTAAAAACTATAAGATCTTAACCGTTCGTTGGATAAAAAAATAAGATACCAAATCAAAGTGCATGGCCTTCGCATATACAAAAACTTTAAGCTTTTTGAGTAGGGTTGCCACCTATTTAAAATTACTAACTTCTATTCATATATAATAAACGAAGTACATGATGACATATGATTTCTTTCTCCAAATACGTAAATGTACATACATAGGCATACATTCAGCTCGTGGCGAAGCCTCGCTCATCCGTGGCCGGCTAGTATTGTATATATGTATGTAAATGTGTATACTTTCACTTACAAACAAAACTTCATTACTTTCCAGTCGACAAAATGAGTAGTGCTTCTGAATAAACGCTTGCAGCCCAGACGTTTCCAAGAAGGTGTCTTTTCGAGACTACAGAGGTTACCTGGTGCAAAGTTAAATTTGAACTGTGTCATATAATTGTTCCCTTCCTAAGAGAAGCTGGTAGTAGTAAAGAATCAAGAAATGCTGGGGTTCACTTGGCATTTCAAATTAGCGTCAGTTGGTAGAGAAGAGAAAAAACTGGCGTGCTTTATTGAACTTGGCCAAAATCGCTTAAGCATTGATGCGCCTTGTGCACAATTTATACAGAGTATGTATGTATGTATACCTAGAAATACGTAAGCTACTCTCAAACAAAAACGCAGATTGGGATATTAAAAGTATTTACATACACATGGACATATGGATGTAAAAATAAAATAAGCAGTTCGCCGCACTTACAAGTCTACAGTATTGACAAATATTAGCACATAAACTTTAGCGTGTCATAAAATTTCAGAGCAACTTACTTTTGCTCAAATAATAACATTCAAATACAACAATAACAAATTTGAATGAAATTAATTTACGTAACGCACATCATAACAATTTTTCTCACTAATGTACATACGCTACCTCCAAATTGACGGCATTCTCGCTCACAAATAAATTCCCGTAAACAATATAGACAGTCAATTGGATTCTATACATACACCCCTAGTCATTTGAATAGCGAATCCTTTTGATCCTCAGTTAGCACAGTTTTCCCTTTGTTTTTTGATTGTTCATTAATTTTTAAGATAAAATTTATACAAATTAAAAAAAAATGTTTTATTTATTTATTTATTTATTTATTTATAAATAATTTATAATATATATAAATAAATAAATAAAAATGTCAACAAAGAGGTGCGCTATCCTATTGGCCTGCAGTAAATAAGTTAACAATATTTTTAGAATAATTTCGGATATTAAGTTTTGTAGCCCATTGAATATTTTAAGGCCATTTTCTCAATGTCTGGTTAACACTAACTACAGGTTGAACATGGTTATCGACTCCCTGTTATATGTTATGGAGTCGACCGAGTCGATAACGCGATTTTTGACTAACTCCGAACTTGCATTTTTTACTATAATTGAATGTGCTGCAAAACAGCATACTCAAAAAAATCTGATTAAAAAGTTGAAAATTTTGATGAAAATTTGCTGAATTTTCGCGAGTTTTGCACAAAGTTTAGGCATTTTATTTTTATGTTTTTTGTTGTAGAATGAACAATATTTTTAAACAATATTGGCGGAAAAATATTAGAATAAAAATTGTTGCATATATTGTGAAAAATTTGCTGTGCCAATACTTTGTTCCGGCAGTGTATATACGTGATTAAGTGTAACCACTTTTTGTTTTAAGCGGACTAACGGTAAATTGAAAATATCTTGAAAACTTATCCATAGAATAAAAAATTAATTCGATTTTCGGAATCAGCGAGCAATTCTTTATAGGAATTGGATAATGGCATCCATTGAACATTTTTGCTGTAAACCAGTGATATTATTACTTCTTTCGCTATTGGTCATTAGGAAGCGCACCCGTTTTCTGAGGTTTTTTTTTGTATAATAGGCTAAATTAAAAAATTCATGAATATTAAATAAACAAAAGGAAAAAGGTAAATACTAAGTATTAAAAAAATGCGCTATTCAAATGACGAGGAGTGTTTATGCATGTGAGTTTTTATTTGTCAAATGAGTCCGAGTATTGGGCCGAATTAATAAAATCAAAGCAATTGCTTTTTCTTAAAATTGCATACCTTTTATTCAATTTTGTTTGAATAAATCGAGTAAAGTGTTAGAAATTTTAAGAAAAAGCAATTGCTAATTTTTTATTAATACGGCCCATTTACTGAAAATACAGAAGTACAAATAATTACATCGAGAGAAAAAGCTATTGAATTTTCAGGTGGTTTTCCTCATATGTATATCCATGTGCCTTTGTACATACATATGTACATATCGCCACATGAAATGCAAAAAGACGTAACAACATCGTAACCGAAATGGAAAAAGTCGTGACTAAAATTTTTGTATTTTTTTCATTAAATGATGTGGGAGTTGTAATTCGATGAAATCCATCATATCAATCCAAAACTGAATTTAGAATTTTTTATTAGTTACGACTTTTTGAATTTCAGCGACGCTGTTTGTTACGTCTTTTTATATTTCAGGTGACGATATGTATATACTTAATTATCTTACATACATTCGTATATTCATGCATACGAGCGTGTGAACTTGATACATGTTTGACATACATAGCATAAATGAATTTCATTCGGGGTGTTCACAGTTCGTTCCAAATAGTGTCTCAAAATGTAGACGTC